AAATACTGTCATGCGCACAGACTTTGTTCTTTTCCTACGCGCATGTGCATGTTAATCATACTTAATTCTTCGAACAGCTGGTGACTTGATGTAAAGGGGTAGGACCTTTTTTCCCCTGAATTAAATTTCCGGTAGCAACAGTTTCAAAGAGCCTTTCAATCTAGCAATTACAGTATCAGTGTTTGTACATATAGGTTGTTGCAACTGCATTTTATCTTTATTTCTAATAATTCAATTAAAAAGTGTGAATATTGCTAAAATTGCAATTTTTAAAAGTTTTCAACATATCATGAACACCCCTGTGTCATCAATCTATTATAGTAACAACATTAACGGTACCAATTTTAATGCATCAGATGAGTAGACCTGATTTTGTGCAGCAATTCTTACTGTTTTCCATATTAAATCAATCAATATGGCTCTCTAATCTAAAGGAAGTATGCAAACTGTAGTTTGTTATCCCCCCAAATGATTATTCATATTGGGTTAGTTGTGAAATAATATGAAGACAAAAAATTTCCGGATGTCCTTTCCGTCATCATCAGCGGTTTCAGATGTTATGCTTACTACTTCCCACTTGACTCCTTGATGGCTCCGCCTATAACAACAGTGGACTGATTTTTCCCTTTTTAATGTTGGTACTGGTGCACTATATAGCAATGAACAGAATGACGAATGTCACCCTGTTTACTCCTTGGGTTACTCTCACCAAAAGATGAATGTGGTATTGAACATTGTTGTTATTTGTGGACTTCGTCTATCCGGCATCTAAACCATGCTTAAGTGTCCGGTTAGATGTAATGGATGTATAAATACGCAGCCACGTCTGTTTGGATCAGGAACGTTTAAACGGATGCCTCGAGAAGGGAAGGTGTCCCGTTCTCTGCACAGTAAACCCTTCATCCCGGTCGAACCCCTTTGCAGAACATTCCTTTTGATTAATTGTCCATTTGTTTTTGTCCCAAATATATATGAAATATTTACCATTGCACGTTACGCAAACAACAATCAATCAAACAAAATGTAGCTTACCGCATACTGATGTGTTAAGTTTTGAAATCTTTAAATATGAATAGAATAAAGTTGTTGGTAAATGCTAACGAGAAAGTAAATCAATATCACAAATGTACCAGAAATATACGTTTAGAGGCAAATCTCTTTTGAACGACCATATGGTTCTCAACGGATTTCAAATGTGTTTTACAATGTTTTCTTTGTGTAATGCAGTGGCGGATCCAGAAGGGGGGGGGGGGGGTCCGGGTGTTGCAATCCCCCCTTTTTTTTGGACGATCAATGCATTTGAATGGGGACATATACATGTAGTTGGAACCCCCCCTTTATCCTGGGTTGAGAACCCACCTTTTAAAAATGGCTAGATCCGCCCCTGTAATGCTGTTAAATTATATTGAAATTCTTCTGATTTTTTTTATTATAATCAATGAACTTAAATGACATATTATATAGACACTAACTTGTTTATTGTTGAACACCGCAAGTTGACCAATAGATTTCATTTTTAATTTTGTTTCGTTTGGTTGATGTCTCATGGGCGCATACCCCAAATTCCGTTTTATTGATTTGTATGAATTATTGTACGAGCTAGGTTTATATGTTTAGGTATAGAAATCTTAAATCCTCCAATCTTCTACATTGGGCTATTTCAGTTTAACGTTCATACTGTAATGGTTGATGGCATAAAAGGGAGATGCATTGTATGATTCTTACTGTAAAATGATAGGTGGTAGGTTTGTGTATTTTGGACCTACATGCATTCAAGTCCTGCACACATCTGGAAAGGATCTACCTATAATGCAGGCCTTATTGGCATTATTATTCAAACTCAGTCTTATTAGACATTTGCGGAAACTGCCATACACCTACGATTAGGATTACAATTGCATCTACAGGTAGCATTTAAATCTTGGGTCGTCTCAAAGCGTAAATATAAACCGTCGTTCCAAACAAAGACTAACTCCTATGATGTTTTTCTATAGTTGAACAACTGGTACATATTTTACATGGAGTGATCCAGATTCAATATGCTGTGAATATACGGAGTTTGATAGAACGGACAATGATCATTTAAAACATTTTACATGAGACATGAAAAAAAAATCGCAATTGTCGTTGGCTAGGTTGGGACAATTAGAAATTAATTTCAGCAGGACTTAGTGTAAAGAAAGGGCGATCAACTAACTTAAGCATGTTGACAATATTGAATGTTTATGCTAAGATATTTTCCATATCTTGTTTGTAAGAGAATGAGGGGTTACAGCGGGTGGGTCCTTAAGAACTATTCTATCTAGTTTTTTTGGCATTATATTTGCCGTTCTGAATATTTTTATTATCTTTTATTTTATTTTTTGGTTACGGTTTTGGTATAACAAAAAAATATATACGCAAAATAAAAACAACACCGTTATCAATTACTAGTAACATCTTTGTGTCGAATATATATAATTTTAACGTCAGACTCTGTTGAAATGTAAAATAGGTATAATCAAATAGGTGGAATTTTGCTATCTACCTTTTCAAATTAAATAATAACAATACTGGGTCTGGTCTTGCGTTGCTGCATGTAATTGATTGGGGTTGAATGTATACTGAAACATAACTGATCATTCCCTTTCATTGAAGGCAAGAACATTTCGACGTCAATTCTGATTACACGCTACAACTCATCATTAGAAAGATGCTGACCAAATTAAAAATCATTCCCTTCCATACCAGCCGGGAAAACTTTGACGAAAATCGTCTTTGTGCAATGAATCTTGTAAAATTTCATACTATCGGCAAACAGGAAGTGGCTACACGGCAGATATTGTTTTGCTTACAAGCTGCAACTCATAATTATTAAGCTGCAGACCAAATATCAAATCCATTCCTTTCAGCGACACAGGTAAAAATGACTTCCGGGTTCTGATTGATTTTTTTTGTGCAATTTTTATAGAGATCTTAGGAATAATTTGGGTAAGGAGGTTTTTTTTCAAGGTGTCGATAATTCTCTCCCATGAACATGGGTGGGTCTGGTCTGCTCGAAGCATGATAAATGAGCAGTAACTTTCTTAATTTCTTGAAATTGTACTACAGAGTGCAACTATGACGGTCACACAAAGTTTATCCGCTAAATTATTCCGTTGGTTAAAAAAGATGAAAGGTGCAAAGTTATATTAGGCGAGAATGAATCGATAAAAAAATCTCACACTATTTAAGTCGGTTAGGGAGCAGTTGCGTATCAAAAAAGTGTAATCGTGAAACAAAGGACGTTTATATATCAAAAGGACTGTGCTGCGCGGGTTTGATAATTATATTGTGTAACTTGCTTACCGCATTTTCCCGTTGTTTTCAAGTGCACCGTTTGTAGATTATCCTCTGAAATAAATGTTTGCTGATTTTGCTATACTAAAATAGGGTAAGACAAAATCATTGAACTATAACTTAAAGAGAAGTACTCTGTTTCTAGGGAAAAGAGTATCGTTCTCTGTTGTTTTTTGGGGGCGACAAAATATATCCGAACAGTATTGCTGCCTTATACTGACAATACAATTGATTGTTCAAAAACCACAGAATATGTGGAAGAAGTTTATAAAATTAAATAGACCTATTATACACACTAGAGAGTAAAAGTTTGAACACGTCGTTGGAAAATTAAAAAAAAAAAGTACAAAGTTATTTGGATTTTTGGGGTGACATCCAGTACAGAGTTTCGAATCTGTTGTTATCATTTGCGCTGCATTCGTGTATCGTCGTAAAGACTTATTAACATAACAACAAAAAATCATTTGGTTTTACTATGTATCTCTATTGTTGTTGTTTTTTAATTTTGAGACGACCCCTTGTTTTTCGTCAACTGTAATCGTAAGTCTAAGTGTAATCCTAGGTATAGACCTAGTTTCCGCAAATGTCTATTATGCTCCAATTCATCGTATAAGTTTACTTTGTTCATATGAAAAATAGTTGAGCTTGGATCGTTAATCCGCCCTCTTGAACTAAACCAATCAGGTTATTTTATGTCAGCATTCTCTCAAGGTACAAACCTTTCAAGGCTATGTTGTTGAATTGCTTGTTCATACATGCGAAAAGTTAATCTGAATTATAAAAATCTAAAGAATGCTTGCAATTTTCATTTCAGTATAAGATTTGAACATACGAAAGGTCGTATCTGCCCGTAAGGAGATGTGTTGCAAGCGGTGTTTTTCATCGGCTTTCCACCAGTGTTCATGTGTTAAAATGAAGACTTAAAAGTTCGGCACAGATTTTATTCATACATAAAGGAGATTTCTGTATGTTTGTAAGTGAGACAGTTAATATATCCACCAAAGACCAAAAAAAAAGACGCCAAGAAGTAGTATCAACTTAGTCTAGTCACTGTGGGTCTTCAACATGACCAAACACAAAAAAAGGGTGAACTACTCTAAGAGTCTAAACAGGCCTACGATAAACAGAAAGTGAAAATTCAAAAGAAACAATTGACAACATAATTGAGTCAAAAACATTTAAATTAAACAATTATACATATATCAAAGGAAAACAACGACCAATACTTGACTGGACTCGTCACGAAATAGACGGACAAGATGGAAAAGATGATATTTGATGTTTTTGTATCCGTATCTGTTCTTCATCTTTAAGTCACAGTGAGGCCTTAAACACGGATGAAAAGTTCCCTCAACACCGGTTTGAGCGGAATTTTTTGCTAAATGAGGATAACACTAGACCTGTGTACTGCAGTTTGCTGTACTCACAGGCACTTGTCTGTCTCTGTAAACATATTACCTCGCAGTCTATTACTCTGTAAAAGTGTTATAATAAGGTATAGATGGATTTTTTTCAGTGCAATTACCATCATAACTAAACATTTTTGCGAGCGCTTCGTTCTGCCAAAATCTGTAACAGTTGTATCATTATAAAACTGCTCAACAGACTATAAAACTAAGTGATGTACATTTCATCAGACACATTCATCATCATCTAAATACAATAAAAACAAGAAACAAAAGTTTAATCAAAATCGTCTATAATTCAAAATCGTAGACATTATTTCATAAACAGATTGGTCTTCAATGATTATCCAAAATTTCTGTAGATATTTATATCCGTGATTTAAAAACAAATATTATCAACAATACAACTTCTTTGTTTATTTATCAACCACATACGGCATATGTATATTGATATAAGAAGATATTGTCTTGATGCATTTATTAAATATACAACTATAACGCTGCAAATATCCCAAACCGTATATGGACCTACAATAAGAAATAAATCATCGTGTAGCTGATGTATGGTGTCGTCAATTTTAAATTGTCGACTATGTTTCCAATTTTATAATGCTTGGTAAAATGTGACAACTGTCAAGTCAATCGTTACTACTCGGTCATTCTCGCTACGCCGATCGAGAATTGCCGATTATTTACGATTGCTTTTAACTACGTTATAGGACAGAGTGACTGTGTTCCCTGTCAATACAAACCTTAATGAAAGGAGTATTTTTAAAGCTGTCAACTTTTATTTCGTAACCAAGTATTTTATCATAAATGTTCGATGCATTTACGAACTCTAAGAATTATTTACAATACATGATGCATGTGCCCCTTACTATGAAGAGAAAACAGCCACGGTTTGTCATTTCAACAAAATTAAGTTGGAATCAAAGTCGGTAAAAAACGAACAAAAAGATTTATGTGTTTTAAAAATGTAATGTTTTAAAAGGGTTTGAGTGTTTACGCACCAAAACAATGTGTTTTACTACTGATACTCACCTTAAAAAATTTGGAGAACTAATTTAATTGGTTCATTTATAATCATTATCAGAACAGAAAGTGGAACGCGTGCACACGGGATCTGTAATTTAATACGATTATCTATTGTTTTGAGTCAAATTCAAGTTTGAGTTTTTCTAATGGTATATTTGAAAACTTCTTCTTGTAGTATGCACAACCGATTCTTGTAAAATGTTGTGTTTTATACATTGTATAAGGTTGATAGCTCGTTGGTCTGCATATAAAACTTAAATTGTAAACAGTTTCCCTTTTTAAAATTATATTGGTAGGGTTTGTGTTGCTAAGCCTTGGTTTTCAGGTGTTGTGTTGTAAACTGTTGTTTGTTTTTTCGCCGTTTTCCATTTTTTGTCATGTTTTAAATGGTTTCTCTGCGACTTGTGAGCGTTGTTGGCCTTACATTTGGTATATTTCGCCTTTTTTTTCCTATAAAACCAGTACACGAACTTACTCGTAAAATTCAGATTCTGAAGAAATTTTTTAATTGAATTGATTAAAAACTGGATATATTTCTCCAGCTGATATTATTCAAAAGCTGTTAGAATAGAATAGTTTTCTGTACCATAAAAACATCATACCTTGCACTCTACGGCATACTAATACAACCACCGTTTCCTGCAGTTACTTTGGAGGGGAAAATTCCACATAGGGTTTCAGCCATGTGCAATCCTGGCAGTTGGTTTACCTTACAAGTAGTGATCACTTCTGAAATGACAAATTATACGAGGTGCACATATCATATAATATACAAATATTCTGCCGATTGGAAAGGGTTGATTGCATAATTATAGATAGGAAACCGTCATTATTTAATGTTGTAGAAAATTGACAACGCTTCACAACCCAAAATGTTCAATATGTATCAGCAGTACGGTATACACATTTTAAATTTAAATGTACAACCCTATTTTTAAAGTTTGAGGGCTCTTTGTCTAAAATAGGTGTTAAACCTGTTTTGTATTCCCGACATTCACCAAACATTAATCGGGTCTGCATTAAATGCAAACCGAGCAATACCAAAACGGCATATATGCAATGGATTACAGTATAATCAATGGAAGTTCTGGAGAAATTAGAATATAGCTAACCTTATTGATTCTATAATGATTTGAACAAGAATTTAGTACACACTATATAAAATTAAAGAGATGTGGTATGCTTGCCAATGATACAACTATCCACCAAAGTTTAAATGAAGTGGATATAAGCAATTATAGAAAACAGTACCTTTCAAAAATGAGAAAAACCCATACCGTATAGTCGGCGATGAAAGGCTACAGCATGAAAAATATGAAACAATTCAATTGAGAAAACTAACGGCCTAATTTATAACAAAATAATTTACGAAAAACAAATATTTGACAGACATGAACTAACGACATCCACTGAACTACAGACTCCTGAATTGGGATAGGCACATAAAGAATGTGGCGGTGTTAAACACGCTTGAGGGCGCCAACCCTCCCCTAATCTAGAACAGTGGTGTAACAGTACAGCATAAGAACAAACTTTAAAAATCAGTTGAAAAGGGCATAACTCATCAGATCGATTAAAAGCAGAAAAACATCTAACACAAACACAGACCGGACGTTGCATATATACAGTTTGTTTCCGAAAGACAGCTTTTCAGCTTGATTTTGTACTTTTATTTGGTTGCATATGAGCTTTCTATAAAAAAAATTAAAGAAACTGGCCCAATGGCGCTGAACCATCGTAGCCCTATTCCCTCAAAAAAGCAGGGGATTTTTTATTCTGTCTCATATATTAATTAAAAAATGTAATCGAACTCAAAGGTAATTTAAAATGGGAAAGTCCATAAAAACAGACAAAACCAAACGCTCGATTATATTAACCAACGGAACGATTTGAAAATAATTGAAAACAATTGTCATATACCTAACTTGGTAAAGGTATTTTCCAAAGTGGTTTTAAGGTATACGCCAATGAGCACAACTATATACCACAAAACCCAAAAGATCAAGTGTCAATACCATATACCACCCCCTAGGTCACATGTACAGTGGTGGAGATAAAACTAGTTTTGTGAGTACTCAGCTATCCTCTTTTTATTTCGATCAGTAGTGCGTTTTAATTTCACCTTAGAGGCAGCACAACAACATTACCAAATTGTGTATTATATTGAAGTTCACAGACAAAACATATTCTTAATCCGTTCACAAAATAGAAAAGTCCGGAGAAGCGACTTATGTGTAAGTAGCGGACTCACCAGTCTTACATTTAATGCAATTGTTTAAACAAAAGTAATGATGAAATCTCAAAAGTGTATTTAAAATAACTGCACCTACCTTTGCAATCTTCCATGCAGGGTGGTATTTTTTTGCCCTCAATGCAAATCGGAACGTGTATTGCACATGCTATCAACTGAGATCTTGTCCTTTCTATGGTACAGAATTTAATCTGTTCGAGTATAGTGCCCAAATTGATATCTGCAATATCCACCGAAGTATGTCCAAGATAGTTCGGAAAGCTCGTCACATTGAATCCATATTTAGCACAATGTTTGCTTTGAATCGTCTGGCAAGCTGTGGAAGAGTAGAATGTTAGAATAGTAAGTAATGTAGCCAATCTGATTAAAATACAGATTGTGATGAAGCAGTATACATTTATTTTAAAGTAGTTGGTCTAGTGGTATCGAGCCTGCCTCCAGTGCGGGAGTGTGTGATTTCGATCCACTGCCGGGTCATCCAAAGACTTTCAAATTGATATTTGCTGCTTCTCCGCTAAGCACGCGACATTATGTATTTAAAGCAAAGACTGTTATCTTGTGAACTAGCACGTTTAAAATCTGGCTCAGAGTGTCTGTCTAGTAAGAAGCAGGATTCATATTCATATCGCATCGTATTCACGTAGACTTAGTCATATTATATATATATAGACATCCATAGAAGACCGTATGATAACTTCTTGATATTTTTTTTTATATCGGTGGGTTGCTGTCTCATTGAAGTATATCCCAAATTTCTTTGGCTCAATTTGTGCTCCTGATATGTTGAATACAACTTTACAGGTCATGTATATATTTCTTCGTTTTTAAAGTCGTAAGCTTGCTGTCTCAATATTGAAGTTAACCCTTTTTAACTTACGACAAAACATCTTACTAACGCATTCTATAGATGGGAGGATGAATAGATTGATGAATTGCACACGCAAAAGTTGTCCAGGTAAATATGAAAAATCTGGGCCTGTCCATTAATTAGAAAATCTTATTGGTCAGCACTTTTTTAAAATATTGACTTAACAAAATACCAGGATCACATGAATTGTAATTATTTGAATATGATATAAAAAGGAATGGCAAAAATATCAATAAAATGTACTCAATCATGATTATATTCAGCGTGTAGTAATGTACTCAATCATGATTATATTCAGCGTGTAGTAATGTACTCAATCATAATTATATTCAGCATGTAGTAATGTACTCAATCATGATTATATTCAGTGTGTAGAAATGTACTCAATCATGATTATATTCAGCGTGTAGAAATGTACTCAATCATGATTATATTCAGCGTGTAGAAATGTACTCAATCATGATTATATTCAGCGTGTAGTAATACTAAATGTATAAGATAGGTGGATGAGTGATTTACGTCCAGTTGCAAATATTACGTGCCTATCAGGACGAGAACATGTTGATGTGTTATGAATATGAACCCTGCTTTGTACTAGACCGACACTCTTAACCTTATATATTAGTACACAATGAAAATGTTTGCAAGACGATTTACATCCAACAAGCATACATTATTTGATACCGAGCCGAACAACAGTTTAGTCTTAGTCATAAATGCCGCATGCTTAGCAGAGAAGCCGTAAATACCAATTCTAAGTACTTTTATTTCGAAGTAATAAACCAAAAATAAATATATAAATGAATATATGAATAAATGAATGAATTATAAACAAGTAATATATAACAAAGTATATGAATTAAATAGTATTCTTATCTTACTCACATAAAGTATGAGGGTCTGGTCGGGGGTACCTCATTTCTGCGTTATTTTTTTTTTTTGCCGTTTTTCTCTACTCTTGACCATTATTCTTCATTCGGTATTATTTTGGCCTATTTTTCTCTATTCTTTATTAATTTTTTGGGGTCTATTTTTCAGCCATATTCTTTATTAATTTTTGGGGGCCTATTTTTCTCTATTCTTTATTAGTTTTTTGGCGTCTATTTTTCTCTATTCTTTAATTTCTTAATCCATTTTTCTGCTGTATTGACACACTATTCTATAAACCCCATCCAGACACTCATGTATTATGCTCGATATAGATTTTTTTCACGCTTTATATATTTTTTATTCTTAGTTTCCATATCACAAAAGTGGTGACAATTATTAAACCCCAAATTCACGTAAATAAGGTTACTTAACTTTACAGATACATTTTTCCCCAATAGATCTGCAGAGGCGGATTAAACTAGGGGTGGAGGTTTGCGCGCCTTTCCTGAATTTGGCATTTTTTTTCTTAAAACTATGAAAATATATTCGTTTTTTTTTTTACCAACGACCCCTACTTGACTCGGGAATTCTGAATCAGCGCCTTGTCAGCTAAATCTCTCTTTATCATTTTATACGCTTGTCAATTCCAGTAGAAGTCGTATATAACATTTGCATGTTTATAAAGTTAAGTGTCATATGAATTTATGTGTCTGTACTTATATAATTTGATTCTCAATTTCTGAATTCCTGGATAGGTAAATTGGACCACCTGCTCCCAACTTATATTTTCAACTCCAGGAATTTTGTTGACAGTATTTTAAAGAAATATATAGCAATAATTATGAAAATGACACAGCAAGTATATAAATGAAATTGACAGTACAATCCGTAGTGTAAGCTATATAGAATACACCCGATACATGAATTTCCGTACCGCCATCTATCATTAAATGTCCAACAGATTTATGTAGCTCTACACTTAAAACAAACATTCCTTGACCTATAATGGTTTACTTTTATAAATTGTAACTTGGATGGAGAGTTGTCTCATTGGCACTCATACCACATCTTCCTATATCTACTTAGAAAATATTTAGACCCTTGTATCTCTTTTGTTGAATATTTTTAAGTAGGTCGGTTTTGTAACACCTGTTGTGATTCAACCAGAAGTCAAACCTCTTATGGTATTTACTGGCACTTTAGTAAAGGTCGTTGGAAGAACCATTTCCACCTGCAAATTCAAGATGGGCAGGGGGTGGGGGAAGAGAGCGTACAGGGCGGCTAAATATTTTTTTTCGCATAAGATGGGTTATTAATAAGAATAATCCACCCATTATGCCTCAACCCTTTTCTTAATAAGCATCCTTCCAAGAAGAGAGATATGGTAAATAATTATTATACATACAGTGATATACTTGGAGGAGAGAATAGAAAAAAATGATAATTGTATAGAATTTTCAAAAATTCTGTCACGGAAAAATCCAAGTATTATTATTTTTTTCAATAATGATTTATAATATAAAACTGAGAAAATTAATTTTAGAAATGATATAGATTAACAACATAAAACTACATGTAACAAAGGTATTGTTTGGTAAATAGAAGAAAATAAAAATAGGGATAAATTGATAGAAAAACAATTAAGAAAACTTTACTAATTATCTAAATTCAAAGTAATATGAAATAATTATAAAAAAAAAATTAAAGTAAAATATTAAAGCAATCATCATTTAATCGAATAAATTGATAAATTCAATAGTTAAAAAGATTATAACCAAAGATATATCTTACCTGGTGGTGCTATACCGGGAAAACCCGTCAAACCGGGCGAGCCATTCAAACCAGACGAACCACCGAAACCTGGTATCCGAAAGCAAGTAACCAATACGCAGGAAATTAAAAAAATCAGAATTGCAGACACCACCGTTAAAGCCATTTCTATCGCAAGATAATAATTTTGTCTAGAATAATATCGTATTGTTTTATAGACAAAACAACTATTAAATGAGGCACCCAAAGGTTTTCGTTAAGTGATGATTCCGCCGATGGAATCTTTCGGGAACTGACCAATTGGCAAAACTTTTAATCGTTTAAGAAGAATTTTGTAATGGAGGAGTTTTTACTATACACTGAAAATGGATGTTAATATTTTTCTTTATATAAAACCTGTGTATAGAATCCTTAAGTGAACTAGTAGTAAATACAATGAATATCTTTTACAATATCTCGAGGCGATGGTCAACAATAATTATGCACAGGCCAGGGTAGTATATCAATTTGATTTACTGTATTTTATTATTCGTCTATCTAAGATTTTGAAGAAAAAACTGTAAGGCACAGACCAGGTGTTTCTTGGGAAAAACAATTTTTTCGACTTTAATTGAAAACAAACTAAATACAAACTAAATACAGATACAAGACATTGCTTTGAAACTCAATGTTAAATTAATTTTCCACCTAATTTGAAACACACTTTTTTCTCATGAAATTGAGTACAAGCAATTAATTAAGAAAACATGTGTTCCCCATAAAATCTTGTAATTTCACCCGAATATTTTTGAAAGGTTTGTGCATCAGAGGGACATCAGATGTGCAACAGAATTACTAGTACACTGGGTGATCAACATAAATGAATTCGTGTTTAATGTTCTGTCAAGATATATTTAACAATAATTTTATTTGCCCTGTGTTTGTCAAAGTGTTTGTATTGTTTATGTATATTCTTAAGGTGGTACCCAACACCATGACTAATATTAATTTGGCTCGTTTAATTTTCATAAAATTTTGACAAAATGTTTACTTTGACCCTTTGACAAAAATATAAAAATTTAAAAAAATTTGAACCAACCACTTTATCAGAAAAATTTCATTGGTTATATAACAGTTTGACAAACACTAATTTTGATCATTGAGAAGCTTAATATTTCCTAAACAATACAACGTAATTAAAACGTTTAGCTGATTTTTACAGAGTTTTCTCCCTGTAGTGTTAGGTACCACCTTAAATAATATTATCGGGCAAATTGTGAGTTTTATTTCAATATCTTTGCCCAGTACATTATGCTAACAACAGTTAGAAAAGAGCTCCGATTGGTCAGGTGCTGAGGTCCATCTTGAATTTGCAGCGAGGTGTGAGCTTCTGCTTCGTTTTGAAGATCATATTGTGATTTTGAGATGAAGAACAGCAATTAGAGCGCTGTTGTGGTTTATGTCATGCTTGTGCGTGTTGGGATTCCCTTGATATTTACGTCACATTATCATTATTTTTGCAAGGAAATAAACAAGATAATGTTTTAATTAGCTAAGAATAGTCATGAAAGGATTGTCTGATTCGTTCCTAAATATAATGCAATAATTATTTATTAATCTATTTAATTTATCTTTAATGTTTTTTTATTTTTTTTTTTAATTATTTTTTTTTTCTTTCTTAAAATAAGTAACACAAATTTGGCAAAGTGTAGCATTTTGCCTGAGGTAAATAATTGACCTCAATCAGTGTCCATTTGTGTACGTATGTTAAGAGGCCTGTGGTACAAGTTTGGACATAGATATATGGCCATCGACGTCATTTGGTCTCTGGTGGATAGTTATCTAATGATTTGTGCTTTGTTTTTGTTTCTTTTGGGGGTTTGTTGTTTGTTGGTTTTTTTTTCGTGTTTCAAAATTGAAAAAGGCAGCATTGTAATGTTTTTCATTTAGAATACTGAAAGAAAAATTTTTAAAAAAATCCTGTTTCTATCAGAAATTTCAGTGGAAAATATCCAAACAACAAAAAATCCATTTGGTGTCACCTTACCGGTTCAAAACATGGACATGTAATTTTATATAAAGACAATATATCAACCTATTATGTTCAGTCGTTGACACATGAGATGAGCTTTCAAGCAATAAAAGGTCTTTTGCTAGACACATATAATTTGGATGAGTTCGATCAAGGTCATTGATCAAATCTGTTTTATAAGTCACCGATCACGTGACCAATCATCTTTTTTTTGGGGGGGGGGGGGGGGATGGTTTTCTTTTCTTGGGACACTTTGTTTCGAGTTAAATCAAAGAAAAAAATTTAGTTTTCAATAACATACAGGAATCTCATAGTGGAATTTCATTTTTTAACTAAGAATTAAACAATTTATTCTAAAAAAAAACCCATGCCCCACAAAAGATGAATGGTGGGATTCTAATTGCATCATCAAACAGTCAGCTTTTATATGTACCATTTGTTTGAGTTGATACCTTTCAAAATAATTAAAACTCTTGAAGCGATAACATTTATTATTGTTATCAAACAGATAGCAATTAATAGAGATTATTATACTTCATGTCAAAATGCCAGACTTTGATTGGTTAATACGAGGGAGACAATTTACTCTATCTCATGGCAAATACTCTATTACCCTTCACGGAGACGCTTGCTCAAGTGTGCGCTTTAATAAATACGGATGATTGTTATGTACAAGACGACATAGTTTATTACTTTGAATTTGAAATTTAATAGAAACAGCATTCAGTATAATAAATTAAATAACACATATCTTAGAGGGTGATAGAGCAGATTGTTACCCCTCGAAAAGACATTGTCAACCTTGGCTTCGCCTCAGTTGACAATGTTTTCTCGGAGTAACAATCTGCCCTATCACCCTCTCAGCTATGTGTTACTTATATAATATCATATGGCTTTTTCAATATTGCACCGCATCAACCCGATTCAACAATTTACAAGAGCTCTGCTCGAGAGATTATATTGGTTAAAGGTTGATGTGGTGTGTGCTATTTAAAAAATAAACCCTATCATATACACTTTTTTATATATGTGCCTCAAGTACAACTTAATTAAGATGTTTTTCACGAGACATGACGGATTTGTATACCTTTGTAAAGACTTTTGTAAAGCCTTTGTAAGGTATATATGCATTACGGCGCTGAATATCGACTAAAGTGGCACCTAGCTATTGGCTGTTCAGTAAGAAATGAACTCGAGGCATATGGTATACTAATCTGCCATTTAATGTTTCATTATAAGTATTCATTATTTTTACCTACATTATATCATGCGCATTTCTTCATTTGTTTTATTTTATTTTCTATTTGTATTAATAGTTTTGAAGGCCTCATGGAAGATAAACATGTTATTGGTAAATGAGTTAACTTAGTTCAATTAAGAATTTTATTTTTTCATTTAGGACTAACAGAACTATAAATATAATGCATGTAACTCGTAGTTTTATCATTTCCTCGGAGTGAACTACCATCTAATTTTATCCAAATTGCAGACAATAGCGGGTGGGTTTTTTTCTCAGATGAAATATAATGGTTATATCATCAACATAAGACAGTCATGTCGTTCCATAATATTTTACCGTCTTTTTCATTTGACGATTTTGAAGGGAGTTATATATGGGACTATGTGAACTATTGTACCACAATGGTACTATGTGAAAGCAACTCACTAGAGACCGTATGCCAGAAAGAGTTCATACTTGGTGGAATGACTATCATCATGTGATTTTACTATAACGCCATTTTGAATTGACAATTGTTTTGAGAGTATACATCCCAAGGGACTTTCGAATATTGGACCGTTCCTGATGAAGGTAAATCCAGAAAAGCGCTTTGGACACATGAAATTTATACCTTGTTGTTTTTATTTTTTATAGTACTAGGTCGATACCTCTGCTGGTGGACTATCAGTCCCCGAGAGTATCATCAGCTTAGTAGTCAGTAATTTGGTACTGACATGATTTATAATAAACTTTTGTTAAAGTGTCCGTAAATATAATTAGAAGAAACTAAGGTTTCAACTCCTTCAGGCAAAGTTGACCTTAGATGGATTTGGCTGTTTAGGTCTTTTTTGGTCACATAGCTCTTCAACTGTTTCGGTTCTTAAGCATCTTTGGCTTTCAAATATTAGGCTTTGTGCGTTCCTGATGAAGGTAGGGTAAATCCAGAAAAGCGCTCGCTTCGGACGCTTGGAATTTATAACGTGTTGTTTTCATTTTTATAGGACTTTTGCCATTAAAATAATTAATTTAACACAATGGTACCTTGTATGTGAACGCAACTCCTCTGAAATGTTTTGCCCGAAAGCCTTTATACTCGAAAAGATTGTTTGTCATCCAGTGTACTTGACCGTTCTGTTTTGTCATTTTAATTTGAAATTTGAAATTGTATGCTGGAGTTATTGGACTTTGACTAACATCGGTCCAATTTGCAACATACTCTCACCTTGTGACTGTTTTCCACAGTACACAGAGGCAGGGAACAATTTGCTACGACTGAAACACTAAATTACTTCATACTGCATGGTGATTAAAGATTTGGGTATGTTAATCTTTATCTAAGAGTTTCATCGCAAAAAAATAAGAATGGATTGTGTATACCATTTTATAAAGAATTGAGTACAGAAAAGTACAAGGGGAAATAACTGAAAACATACCGTTATGTATTAAAGGCTCTTGATATAAGCTTTTTGGTTCTAGAGATTTGATACGATAACTGCCCTTATCTTTTACTAGATAATTTTTTTGTTCGCTATGGAGATTCCGTATATCGTCAAGTTATCGGAATTCCAATGGGGACTAACTGTGCACCACTTATTGCGGACCTGTTTCTGTATTGTTATGAGTTACAATCAGCAAAGACCCATCGAAACAACATCTGATACAAAAATTTAATAACACTTTTAGATATTTGGATGATATATTGGCTCTCAATAATGACCACTTCAGTATGTACACTATGAAGAGATTTATCCTGCTGAACTGACTTTAAATAAAGCTAATACAAACAATGAACACTTCCTTTTTCTGGATCTTGATATCTATATCTTTAACAGGAAGCTTAATACCAAAATTTATGATAAAAGAGATGATTTTTCATTTCCTATTGTTAATTATCCATTTTTAGATGGTGTCGTTCCCTTGTCACCATCTTATGGTGTTTATATATCTCAACTTGTTCGCTCGTGTATGTAACAACGTATTTGATTTTAACGAAAGAAACCTCTGTATTACGGAAAAATTATTACACCAGGGTTTTCGATATCACAAACAAGTCAAAACATTACTAAATTTTATCATCAGTACAAGGACATCATTCGTAAATATAAATCAACATACAGACATCTTATACGTTCAGGTATTTCACATCCAATCTTTTATGGTAATATTGTATACAAAGCACAACAATGTCGACATTCACCTCAAAAGCTAACCAAACCATTAAACAGACTTATTCAGAAGGGATATAGTTACGATACTGTTGTCAGGTCATTAAAGATGGCATATTTTGGTATTAATATTGATTCACTCATAGGGTCTTTGCATCGGAAATAAAAACATATTTATTCTAAAACCAGTTGTTGGCATGAAACGGGTTATGTTCTTCTTATATATTTTATGATGGTATGATACTAAACCCCTAACGGGAGGGACTGTGCTTGATTTTCATACGATGAAGACATAATCTTTCAATCAGTTTAATTGAGGTCTGGAGCTGGCATGTCAGTAACTGCTAGTAGTCCTTCATGTTAATTTATGTATCATTGTCATTTTGCTTAGTTTCTTTTGTTACCTATTCTGACATCGGACTCCGACTTCTTTTAAACTGAGTTTTGTTGTACGTATTTGTGTGTGTTTGTTTATTCTACATTGGCTAGAGGTATAGGGGGAGGGTTGAGATCTCACAAAACATGTTTAACCCCGCCGCATTTTTGCGCCTGTCCCAAGTCAGGAACCTCTGGATTTGTTTGTCTTGTATGTTTTTTTAATTTTAGTTCATTTATATGTTTTGGAGTTTAGTGTGACGTCCATTTTCATTGAGCTAGTACATATTTTTGTTTAGGGGCCAGCTGAAGCCTGCCTCAGGGTGCGGGATTTTCTCGCTATGTTGAAGACCCATTGGTGGCCTTCGGCTGTTTTCTGCTCTTTGGTTGGATTGCTGTCTCTTTGAAAAATTCCCCATTTCCATTCTCAGTTTTATATATATGTTGCATTTTATACGGAAATTAAATATTATTAAAAAATATGTGAAGAGAGTTCATGAAACCCGTTAGGAGTGTTGTTTCATGTTTCAGATTTTTTTATTTCTTGAGCTACAGAATTAAACCAACAACTGTCACTATCCTAGTTATACTCCAATAGTAGCCTAGCAATCACATTTGACATTAGTTTTCCTAACGTGTCGTCGTTTTTTTGTTTTTTTTTCCTTATTGAATTTATGATAATCCTCATGTTGGTAACTTTTTGTTCAGGTTTTTTTTCATTGTGCGTTTTACCTTAACGTTTATAAATATACTAGTAGTCTATGTAGGCAAAGGGTGGATACTTGTGTTCATAAAAAACTTAATTAATCCCACCACATTGTGTACCAATCATATCTGGACCAAGCGTTTGTCGTAGTTATTTTGTCTTTGTGCGTCTTTTTCCGGATTAACTCGGTGTTGGTGTGATTTGTTGTCAAAGATTAAACACGAAATATGTCCAATGTCATACAGCTGTATTCAATGGCTAAACAATGTTTTTTTAAAGACCCCGCTAACCAACCAACATGGCCGACATGCCTAAAATAGAACATAGGGGTAAAATGCAAGTTTTGACTATTATCTTGAAAATCAATATAAGAGAACATCTGACAGGGACAGAATGTTAAGATCTACCTATTGACAATTTATATCAAAACTGTCAGACGACTTCTTATAGGAGTTATTGCCCTTAAATGACGAATTTTACATATTTTTTTTTCGTTTCGTACAAGGAAACTTTCATTGTGGGAACTTTTTTATTGTGCGTTTTACCTTAACGTCTTAATGTCTATGTAGGCAAAGGGTAGATATTTGTGCCACATTGTGTTCCTGTACAAATCAGTCTATATCTGGACCAAGAGCTGTTCGTATTTGTTTTTACTTGTATATGTACGTCTAAATTTTTTTTCGGGTGAACTCGGTGTTTGTGTGCTGTTTAGTACTGACCGATATTTTTTGGTAATTCCTTTTCTTCACCTCATGAAATGAGTAAAATATGATATGCTACATAGGAAAACAATGATTGATTGATAAATAGATGTTTGTTAAACGTCCAGTGGCAAATATTTCATGCACATTCAGGACGAGAACAAATTAACAATAGCTACATTAAGTAAGTGCTGTAATAGAGCCCGTCCGGGATGGAGGTCGGGAAATTTGGACTGCTACTGGAAAATTAGACTATATTAAATAGGGACAGAAATTTAGTCTTGCGATATGCCACCTACGGACACCTCAAAGAGTTGTTGAAAGAGTTCTTAACGGGCAAAGAGCGTGGTACTCTCTCTACAAGAGGTGTCGGATTTAACGTCTCCATTCTGATCTGACGTGGCTGCGTACTTATACATCCCACACACCCAAACGGACGCCCCACTTTAACAAGGGTTTTAATGTCGTTAGCAAGTAGACCAAAGTGACCATATTTCTATTCCCTAGTCACCATTGGGGTGTAAAACAATGAAATATGTTCAATGACATACAAAACAAAACAAAAACAACTTAACTATTGTTTAGATTTATTCATAGAGTATATATTCAACATGAAATATAAATTAAATAAATAAATAAGATTTAAAACAAAGGAATAAAAATCAAAGAGTGTAAGTGTAAGAGTTTTTCGTCCTGTAAACAACAGGACATTCCGAAATAGAATATACTATCTGTTTATTCGACGGTGATAATGATGTACATTTTCCGGAAATTGTCTGTACACCTGAATTGCAAGTATCGATATTTTCTTCTTGTGATACTGTTATTTTGACGTCAATTTCTTCACATGAATTAGCGTTTCCAAGTAAGGCATAAATTATAGCACCAATAATATAGACAACACCGATTGAAATAAAAACATATATCCATTCTTCTCTGCTTCCCTGAAAATAATTAAAATAATGTTTCTTAACTGTACATTTATGTCTTCTATGGAATATTAAGAAAGAAAAATTATATGATAAAAGTTCCACATAGTAAAATTTGATTCAACTGTTTATCAAAGTTTACCAAGTCCTTTAGACGTACAAAAACAGTGCTATTTCATTGGCTGACAGGCTAAATAAGGTTGAGATTGAGTGGTTTTTTTTCCAGTTTATATTCTTAGACTTGTTAAAAGATAACTATGCTATTCGGTACGACAACCCCTCAGGCAAAGTTGACCTTAGATGGATTTGGTTATTATTTTTAGGTCCTTTATGGTCATATAGCTCTTCAACTGTTTCGGTTGTTATACATCATTGGCTTTCAAATATTCGGCTTTGAGCGTTCCTGATGAAGGTAAATCTAACAAAGCGATTCGGACGCACGAAAGTGTTGAATTAATTTTTGGAAAGGACTGTTATACAACAAGTAAAGTACATAAATATTACTAACCTTTTTTATCATCTGTCCGATAATAATAGGAGCAGTAATCTGTCCTACTCCATTCATTGCAAAGGCTACACCAGAAATTGTAGATACATGACTGAAAAAAAGGAAATTATTATTCTTGACAGCTTGGACTTCTTCGGTCCGGCGTTAACACTTTGTAACATTATTCTATTAGTACTGTACGTACTTTGATTTACGTTCTGGTTTTAAATATTGAGTTGTTCCCCTTTTATAGCAGTATGAACCCCATATTCCTTTAGGCAGTTTTATGTATACGAATACATGTGAACACGTTGCTGTTTTTTTATCATTCATAAATATTGCCATTATATGGCTCAAAGAACATTATACACTTGTGCTAAGCTTTGAAACAAAACAGGTTATGCGCAGTTAAGCTTTGGCACAAACCAGTTTATACGAAATGTATTAGTATGTGAACACGTTGCTGTTTTTTTATCATTCATAAATATTGCCATTATATGGCTCAAAGAACATTATACACTTGTGCTAAGCTTTGAAACAAAACAGGTTATGCGCAGTTAAGCTTTGGCACAAACCAGTTTATACGAAATGTATTAGTATGTCTGTTGGTAGAGTGATGAACTCTCTTTGCAAATAAAGATCTTTTATAAAATGTGATAAAATTGATCGAGGTCAGTTTGCTTTTTGCTTATTGGGTATGATCTATTACCAATTCTAAGTTTTCCTTTTTTCAATGTCCTTCAAAATTCTACGTCCATTTGTTCTGGACGTCCACCAAATATTTCAAACTCCTATATTTTTTATGGTTTAAAAGTTGCTTTAGTCTTAATTACGAATGGCATTATGCCAGTTTTCACTAATACTCTTGACATTAGACAAACCAACAAACAGTTTTTATATTTTATGTTTTTATTTTTGTATTTTATACAATTGTACTATATAAGTAAAGAAAATGATAACATTGGTTGAACATTTGAGGATGACACACTATGCTATTTTAAACAACTGCACTTTGCAGTCTTTTATCATTTATTTTAGTTTTACGATGTATCGTCTATAAAGGTATATATGGGGAGGTTTGTGTGCTACGCAAAACTGTTTTTATTCTACCACCTTGTGTGCCTGTACCAAGTAAGGCTATCTGGACGTTGTTTATTTCGTTGTTGTTTGTCTTGTCTTGTCTTGTTTGTATTTGTATTTTTTTCGGAGTCGGATGTTGTTGGCTTACGTAGTTTGTTGTACTGTGTTTTTTTTCGGCAATCCCTTGTTGTATTATGATGTAAACTAAGATTGTCTCAACATATAAATACCTACCTAGGGAATATTTCCAAGATATTTGCATACGAACCGGACATAGTCCCTCCCAAAGCCATCGAGGAAAATGTTATTAACATAACCGCTGAAAAGCTATCCCCTTCAGATAAAAAACTGACGGGTATTATCATAGCTGCTCCCAGAACTCCAGCTGAAGAAAAATCCAAAAAGAACCTGTTAATGAAGTACACAATGGCTATACAAGTACCGATCAGTAAGATAATGCATAAATTGTTTTGTCGAGTTTACGAGGCATATCATCGACAGCTTCACGACATGTGCCAAAGTGGTGCAGGACCTGTCTATCCTTCTGGAGCACTTAATTGCACCATTCGTTTTCGGAGGGGTTCGTATTTCTCAATCTCTAAGTTTGTTTTGTTTGGGGGTTGGAGGGTTAATGATTCATGTTGTTGTTTGGTTTTTGTAATTTATCTATTTGCCATGATGACCCATGGTGAAACCTCCTCTCCCTGGTATCAATTCTTTGTTATATTCCTAGTGTCTACTATCTATTTGAGCAAACATTGATTGAATCAATAGATTCTTAACTCATAGAGGAGCAGGATCTGTTTACCCTTCCATAGCACTTGAGATAACGTTCAGTTGTTGGTGGTATTCGTGTTGTTAGGTCTTAATTAAGATTACTTCGTAGTGTTTTGTGGACTTTTCATAGTTTTTATTTTCGTCGTCCTTCTATTTTTGACATGACGTTGTCAGTTTTCTTCGACTTTTCGGGTTCTGAATATTCCCCCTGATATCTTCAGTCTCTTTCGTAACAAAATATAGTAAAAAATTAATTTCAATATGATTAATTATATGCTTCAATGATGCTCTGTGAAAGCGTTTTGTTTACATATGAGATAAGATATAAACATTATAATATACATACCACCACACTGGTTAATTTTTCTCATTGTTGTCTGTTTTAAAAAATTTCTGTTTAACAGATAATCTGTTAATCTTCCAACAAGGATAATTGAAAACGCTCTTCCTAGGAACGGTAGGGAAGAAAAGAATCCATTCTGAAATGTATTTGAAAATATATTTTATTGTTGTTAGGCACATAACGAAATACACTAAAAAGGAAAAAACTTCCGAAGTTTAATTTTATTAGAGAATTATTGTATATAGGTTGAAGTCTAATACTCGATTATCTGTAGTAAGAGCGATAACTGTCATTTCCTTGTCGGAGGACATTGTGGCGAATTTATAGAACATTCCCCTTTACGTATACATATGCATATTGTTCGGAATATATCTTAAATATACCATTCAAATTTCGAATAACATAATGTAAAAAAAATGTGAGCCATTGTTGTGTATATACAATTTTCTACGTAAATATGACTATGATCCATGGTATAATTTCTTTATGTGTGTAAAAGATGCAGTTATACCTTCGATCCTTCATTGCAGGGCCCCATTAAGCAATAAAAGGAGCCAGTAAGAACATACGAAGTACGTATACCCTGTAATGTGTATAAAAAGCCTAATACTATTAAGTATTGTTAACTTTTTTGTTCTGATGACTGCAGTTTAATTGTCAAACTTTCCTAATTTTGTAAATTGTTCTGTCTGTCATAAATTAGATTTGCCTTCCACCGCAAAAAAATCATTTATACAACTGCATATGTAACCATGTCATTCCATTCATCTTATTGCTTTTGTATACATGTTATTGTTGTTATTACCGTTTATATTCACATACTCCTGATGGGGTCTTGAGAAATAACAGATTCAAGTTTTAAGTATAGTATAAATTAGGACCACACTAGGTTATTGATAATCATTAATTGCTTGATAATATTTACAGTAAAAAATAAGATTTTTTAAGGTATTAACTTAACAAAGCTAGCATTACCTGCTTAATGTCGTATTTCAGAACATCATTCATATATTTTGGCAGGAAAGAAAACACAACCGTCATTCCCCATGCCACTGTAAACATTCCCATAATCATGGCAAATACTGGACCAGAAGTAAAGATTTTAAACCATGGAGTCGATACATGCTAAAACAGTATAGTATATTATAAATATGCAACTACTTTAACAATGATTTAGTTCCATGTAATTTGAAAATAAAATAAACTTTTAAAATTGTACATCAATATTTGGGGATTGGTTTAAATTGTTAAAAACAATAGAGTTTTTACGTAACCGGTTTGATATTCATTTTGGTGAATTATCGACGAAAATATCAATAATCTTTAAGATTCTGAAACCGTTCATAAGGAAGAGTTAATACACTTATGCTTAATCCATTTTTGACAAATTTTTCATTTTTCTCTTTCTTAAAATTTTGGCATCTTATACTATTAATTTTGAACGGTGTCTTACACCTAAATCAATTAAAACATACACTGAGTTAACATATAAAGAATAGTATCGATGCGTATAATTTATTTATTAAGAATATTTAGGAAGACATTTTAAGAGTTTTGCATTTGAATATTTGTAGTCTCAACAGCAGCTTTTTAATCTTCAAACTGAGTACGTAGAGATATTTAAGACGGTATATAATAGTTGCAACTACATTTTTACAAACTTTGATTGATCAATGCTTAATAACAGAAGACCGACTTTAAATATTTGATATACCTTACTAACTGCAGATGAACGCTCTGAAACTATGTATTTCACTTCTTGCTTTGAAATAAAGGAATTTTCCTCTGGCAAGTCAGTGAAAAAGAATAGCCAAACTACACACCACAATATTGAAATAGCACCTACAAACATTAAAAAAACATATTGTTATGATTTTGTTTAGGGGCAGCTATCTCATTGAGGTATACCATACATAATCTTATATCCAGGCAGTTTTTACATTAAAATATAGTTTACATTTCTTTCTAATTGTGTTATAACTTTACCACATTGTCCTGATCGAGTTTAATTTAATCACATTGTCCTGATCGAGTATAACTTAATCATATTGTCCTGATTGATCGACTATAACTTAATCACATTGTCCTGGTCGAGTATAACTTAATCACATTGTCCTGGTCGAGTATAACTTAATCACATTGTCCTGGTCGAGTATAACTTAATCACATTGTCCTGGTCGAGTATAGCCTAATTGGACTAGTAGTTAGAAACGTTCGAGATGTTTTCGTCAAATTTGAATTTTGCATTAGCAACACGACGGGTGCCACATGTGAAACAGGAACTGCTTACCCTTAATGAGATCATCCCCGTTTTAGTGGGATACGTGTTGTTCAGTCTTTTAATTAGTTTTCTATGTTGTTTTTTGTACCTACGGTTTATGTCTTTTCGTCGTTTTTCATTTTTTTGCCACGTCTTTTACTTTTGGTTTTTCTAATTAAATTGTATTAGGATGTTTTAGTTTTAATGTATATACTGACAAACAAGAGTTTATACGAATTATTGAATTTAAAGGCCATGGTACTATTTTTTTAATAATAGTTTTTATTTATATAAAAGAAAAACGTATATACCAATGTTTAATTTTTTTCTAAGGTCTGATTATTTCTATCTGTAATACATGAATGTCATCGATTTTTAGATAGATAGATAGATTATAACCCTGTTTCTTTTTTAGATTGAACAATTATAATGTAATGTTCTTACCAAAAACATAAAATATCAGAGGCCATCCATGTTCATTCGATAATGTACAAAGCCATCCAGAAATTGTAAAAGCAACGATGACACCAATGTCCAATCCTGATAAAAAAAATAATAAACTCATATATACAGATGAAAACGAACGATTGATTGATTGATTGGTGTTTGCTAAACGTCCAGTGGATAATATTTCATGCGGATGAAAAAAGAGAACAAACGACACTAATTGCATAGTCTTTGAATAATGGCACATTAGAATACTAGAGGATATCGTATCGTATGTAGTGAGATTTTTCTCCTCTTGTTCTCTCCGACTTTTTCTGTAAATATTTAAATGACACTTTTGATGTTGATGTTATCATTGATGAAAAAACAATTTTAAACTTCCAAATATTACTTTTATCAATTAGTTTCTTAATTAATATTATATCATAGATCTTATGACATATAGGTGATATATATTTTATGACCTATAGGTTCTATAGATCTTATGACATATAGGTGCTATAGATCTTATGACATATAGGTGCTATAGATCTTATGACATATAGGTGCTATAGATCTTATGACATATAGGTGCTATAGATCTTATGACATATAGGTGCTATAGATCTTATGACATATAGATGCTATAGATCTTATGACATATAGATGCTATAGATCTTTTGACATATATGTGCTATAGATCCTATGACATATAGATGCTATAGATCTTATGACATATAGGTGCTATCTTATGACATATAGGTGCTATAGATTTTATGACATATAGGTGCTATAGATCTTATGACATATAGGTGCTATAGATCTTATGACATATAGATGCTATAGATCTTATGACATATAGATGCTATAGATCTTTTGACATATATGTGCTATAGATCCTATGACATATAGATGCTATAGATCTTATGACATATAGGTGCTATCTTATGACATATAGGTGCAATGATTTTCTTCAGTCTTTTAAGTTCATTTTTTACTTTGTAAAGAGATAAGGTTAGAGCGCATTAGCCATTATGGCGGAAACATCGTGTTGCTATAAATAAAATTATAATAAAAGTTAAAAGGAAAGGCTATTTTTGAAGAAAATCTTTCGAATAGAGTTCCGCCTAGCACAGATAAAACTTTATTGAGCCAAGCCATATACTTACCAGAAAATGTAAACGAAATAAGCTGGCTTCGTTCTTGTTTCGGAGCCCAACGAGACCATAAATGTGAATACATAGGCAGGCAACCTGACTGGAGAAATCAAAAAGAACACTTCGATCAACCAACAGTTTTTACAATAAGAATTTATTAAGAATTAAGTAAGAAATTATTTTGCCCGTTAAATCATTAGAATTTAGAATACTTTTCATACATGTTATGGAGCAGTTGCTATTTAACCGTTCTGGGAAACCCAAAGTTGACCTCAGTTTTTAGTGGAAATTGCATTTCACAGTCTTCTGCGTAATCTTTTGACGATGTTTTGCTTTTGTTTTTGTTTTTTTATTTCTTCTCTCTTTAAGTTATCAGTGTGTCCTTCTTGGTAAAGATTATGATCCCCCTTTTGACATATCCTAATTTTCATTATTTAAGTTTTTCGTTTTCATTAATAAGATTATTCTTACCCCAAAAAACCCCTGGGCACTCCTGATTATAATCACGCTCCATGCTCCGTACTGTGCAACAAAAGGCGTTGAAATAAGCAGACACGATGACAAGAAAACGTATACAGTCATTGGCCCTCGCACACCATAATGGCGACATAGCACCCCGGATATCAATGGTGAGATAATTTGTCCATAAAAATAGGAAGACAAGATGACCCCTTCCATTTCTGATGTCCAATTATATTCTTTATATATCTAAAATAGAATGTCACATTTGATGAGATAAGAAAATAAGAAATTTGATAATTAGAATAAATCAATAAATGTATAATGATATCTAAAAGTGAAATTATGGGCACATTTTGAATAATTTTTATTTTTCAGAAAGGATTATTTTTGGAGGAATACGAAAACGGTTTTCAAAAACTTTAGATTACTTTTGTTTCGTTTATAGATTAGTCAACTTTTGATTCTGTCCTCAATCATCCTTTGTTTTCGTATATTTTTAAAGATCATCAGAAGAGGTGACAAACAACTGTTACAAAAATTGAGAAAACTGTGAAAAAAGAATTGATTTTTAAAACAAAGCTTTGAAACATTTTGTTGTTTCAGAGGATTAGTGGATCAGAAAAGCCTAATGGTAATTTAATCAATAGTAAATAATTGGGGTCTTTATAGCTTGCTATTCGGTGTGAGCCAAGGCTCCGTGTTGAAGGCCGTACTTAGACCTATAATTGTTTACTTTGTACACATTGTGACTTGGATGGAGAGTTGCCTCATTGGCACTCATACCACATCTTCTTATTTCTATTGAAAGTCCATGAAATTCTTGCCGCTGGATTGTAAACAAACACAAATCAATTTTAAAAATAGTATATATGTCATAATGTCAAATATACTTTATAAGAACACTGTCTTTTTTAATGCATGTGCGGCAGGTTCCCTTCTTATTCACGTAAAGTACGTTATATCAAATTAATCGGTTAAAAGTAGTTTATCATTAAATTAGCATAGTGTTTTCCTATGTGGTATGGTCGGATGTAAACATGTCATATTAGATCAGATTCTTGAAAGAAAGTCACCAAGAGCATCATGTTCGACTTCGCGGCGAAATATCATCAAGTACGATTCGTAAAAAATAAAGTCAAAATTACGAACTCGATAAAGTGTGCATTTCCTGATCAGATTTGCCATTTCCGACATAAAAGTTTCTGTAGTAACGAGGTTGACATTAGAAAACCTAAAATACCACCAAAACCACCAGGTGTTGAAAGACTTTAATGACACGGAAACAAAAACGCAAAAAAAACATGAAATAAATGTAATTAAACGAGCAAAAACTATAGAGGACATTTCAGGCATGCAACAATTTCATGTCAAAACTTAATTTCAGAAAAAAATAACCATGACATAAGGGCAAGGAAATAAAGATATATACATATGAATAAATAAAGTAAAAGACGCAAAAAACTTTCAAAGATACATGTCACTACAATGTTTTTTACCGGTAAAGCATTCAATTGGTTCTTGTTGCATTTAAACACTATACCAGTGGATGTGTACTGATTGATGTATTAGTGTTAGATACATGATTTCTTTTATAAGTTGTTTTTGGCTTTGAACTAGCTGTCAGTAACTGCGAGTACTCTCAGACCTGTACTTTGTGTCTTTCTTGTAGTTATGGATGTATAAATACCCTGCCACGTCCGGTCTTCGTTTTTGTTAGATGTTTGTCTGCTTTGTATAGATCTGATGAGTTAAGCCATTTTCAACTGATTTTTATAGTTAGTTCTTATGTTGTTGTAACACTACTGTCCCATATTAGGGGAGGGTTGAGCGCTCACAAACATATTTGACCCTGCCACATTCTTTATGTGCTTATCCAAAGTCAGGAGCATGTAGTTCAGTGGTTGTCGTTGGTTCATGTCTGTCATACTTTTTTTCGTAAATTATTTTGTTATAAATTAGGTTGTTAGTTTTCTCAATTGAATTGTTTTATGTTTTTCATATCGGGGCCTTTTATAGCCGAATTTACGGTAAGGGTTTCCCATTGTTGAAGGCCGTATGGTTGCCTATAATTGCTTACATCCACTTCATTTGAACTTGAATGGATAGTTGTCTCATTGGCAATCATACCACATCTCCTTATTTTATATTTCTTGAACTCAGAAGACAATTTTGTGTCAATTCTAAATCGTTAAAACTCGTGTGCTCTTTATTTATTTCTTTATTTACTAATCATACGTTTTGTACATGTAACAGTTAAAACACATACAGTGGGTGTTTGATGCCTCACCTAAATATATTTAACGGGATATATACATAACTTCTACTCTGGTTATAAATGGTAACGAGTGCATGTACTAGGGTATATTCGTTTTACCGTGTTTTTTTTGTTTGTTTTGTTACAACCATTCTGTTTCTTGGCTCTGATAGTTACGCTAATATTTGTTAAATCTACCAACACATTATCACACTCTTTATACTTACTTTGCTTGAAACTGTCCCATTTATGGTGACGTTCATCACAACTTCTTTTGTCATACAGACTATTGCTACACTGATACAGTTTCTGTGTGCTATTTGTAAGATAAGACCTGAGAGGGCAAGAAAGGCAACTCTCCATCTACAAGAAACGTATTTTTCCAGAACGCACCTTTCGTCGTTCTTATTGGTTGAATCCTGTCCTTCCTTATTAGTAATCTCAAGTTTTTCATGAAATGAACTATTTCTGTTGAACACTGATGGTTGGATTGGAATGTCATCATGAATTTTGCACTTTGTAGGTTTAATTTGTTTGATGCTGATTTTCTCTATCCTTTCATGCTTTATTTGTAGTAGACATTTGTGTGCACAATCGTCGTAGCTTGGAGGTGGTGTAATGTTTTCTAGTACTTCAGGCTTCTGCTCAGCTGGAACTTGCAAGTACAATTCTTTCAATCCTGAATGACAATGAAAATTGAACAATATTAACTCTGCACTATATATATAAATGAGGGTAAATATAGATGGGGGAACCTTAATTTCTGTATTCCTTAAAATTTTAGGGCATTTTTTTTCTTTATCTGTAAAAATAACGCTTACACTTGAAAATTTTCGTGAAAATAATCATTCAATTTAAATTTTCTGTAATAAGATGATTTCATTATTTTGTTCATCGCTCATTTCTGTAATCAGTAAAAGTATTACATAATTCTTGTATTTACCAGTTATTTTTTGACCTTTTGCACCCCATTATTCTCTTTTATTTATAATCTTTTCTCATTTGTCTCTATCCATTATTTTTTTTTGTGTGTCATATTTCTCTGTTAACCCAAGCCAGACTCTCATATATACTAGTTAACAAAAGTAACGATACACATGCAAGTTGATCATGAACTCGAATTTATCATAAAATATTATATAAATAGGAAAAACGTTAAATCATCAAACTCGCGGTGAAAAACATTTATTTGCACAGTAAAATTTATGCATTTGATTAAGAAAAGTTGGAAAGTGAGAAAATGCCGTGTTATTGAACATATGGAGTAGAGAAAAATGAAGTAAAAGAAATAGAGAATAGAGAATAACTTTAGAAAATAATAGATTTACACTACTGATTATAGAAATGAACGATGTACAGAATAAAGAAATCAGATATGATTACAGGAAAAAAATAGTATGTAAAAATTTTCAAGATGAAAAAAAATGCTCTAAAAAATTACAGAATACATAAATTAATGATTCCCCACCCAGACCTTCTTAAAATATTGATGCAAATTATTTTTATTCGATAAGTTTAAATATTTCCTCATCCATGGAATATATATTTGAAACAATAGCAGTTCCTCTTGCTAAAAAGACAATACGCAGTAGTAACCTTTTACTTAGCTTTGCGTGGCGGTTATCAGAACATTCCTTTGAACTGATTATTAATCTATTAAAGGAAACGTCAAAATATTAATTTGTAGCCATCATAATTGACATAGATAGTGATCGATGTTCGTATTCGTCTTTGCCTGTGTGTTCGTGTACCTGTCAAATTTGCCTGTTTGTATACACTGACCTCTGAATTCCTATTTTTTTTAAATATCCCTTTTAACATAATTAATTCGTTATCGTTGACCTGTTTTTTTCACGAAAACATATTGTTTTTAAAGTCTTATTTCAAATGTGAATGATATTTCCCCAAAGTTTGGATTACAAGCGATTTATAGATTGACATATTGTATAGACGCGTGATTCATTTTGACATTGATAGACGTCTTTTTGTTCTTTTTGTCTAATTGACGTTTACCCCACATCCTTTCAATTCGTATTGATTATTTAACGAACAGACATTAGCAGCAAGTTCGTGACGATTATTATATTTCAGATTACGAAAGGTTTAGTGTTCCGTTACTGATAAATAGTAATATTCTGTTGGTGTAAGTCGTCTTCGCAAACCCAAATAAAAATAAAAAGACTATATTAGACTTTCTGCGACAGTCGGAGATATTTGAGGATCTGGATGTGGTCCTTTTCTGTATTCCTTATTTTTTTAGGTAATATTCTATATTCTTTATATTTTAAAGATTATTTTTCTGTAGATTTTGGCCCATTTTTCTCTATTTTGTGAACCCCATACAGACCCTCATGTACGCTTATCACAATCAAATACTACTCAGGATAGCGGGTCATGTTACTACGTTTGACTGTGGACGTGTCCGTCGACAGTTTCATGTCCGTCGTCAGTTGACTTTGGTACGTGGTTTATTGCTGGTTGGTAGACGTATTCTCATATTTTGTTGTTATGATACGAACATTAAAAAATATGAGGAAGAAATATCGTTGGTTGACGTAATATCATTATCCGAAGAGAAAGTAAGACGGAGCTGTGTGAAAATCCTTGCAAGTAAATTTGTTTGGATCTCATATAGTAATTAGACCCTCTACAATCTTTCATAACTTGGATGGAAGTGGGATGCAAGGTAGGTATGGTACCTGTTCCAGATCAAAGGGTATCATACCCGCTTTTATGAAAGTTCACATTGCCAAAAAAAATGAAAACAACGTCCGAAGCTTTTTTCTGAATTTACCTTCTTCAGGAACGCTCAAAGCCGAATATTTGAAAGCCAAGGATGTATAAGAACCGAAACAGTTGAAGAGCTATTTGACCAAAAAAGGATCTTAGATAATAGCCAAATCCATCTAAGGTCAACTTTGCCTGAGGGAGTTGAATTTTAATTTTCTTAGTAAGTTCAAAATTTATGAACGAGCAATTTAAGAAAATTTTGTTATAAATCATATCAGTACCGCAGTACTTACTAATGAGTTGATGATACCCTCGGGGACTGATAGTCCACCAGCAGCGGTATCGACCCAATGCTGTAAAAAATGAAAACAACCTTTTCGTGCTGTTGCTTAGTTTGCAAGTTTGATTGAAATGCAGTGCCTTCGTCCACGCTTCGCTAACAAGAACATGACAACGTTGTTAACTTCGTTATTATTTTTTTGTTTGGAGACCTTATCGGGATATACTTTAGTTGTACTGATATACACTTTCGAAAATTTAGTTGCAGACTGAATTTCATTATTTGACATGATATCAGAACAGATAGTAGAACATAGAGTTGTCGTATCATTGTAAGCGAAGCAATGACACAGGCTCTTTATTTAAATATCATTTGAATTAGATTAGATCTAATAGGTCTTAGACCCTTTACAAAGTTTAATAACCTGAAAATATCTTTGATGTGGAATGCAAAGTAGGATGTGGCACAGGGACTCGGTTAGCAGATTAATAAAATTTAGGATTTTTCAGTATACAGATAAGGATAGTAAACTGCACATTGCTAGAAATCAAAGAAATATTGATACCAACGTTAATTACGTATAATAAAGTAATACGAATAGACAGGAAATACGAAAAAAAAAAGAAAAAAAAACATTGATTATTTTTTTTAATCTGCAAACCGAGTCCCTGTGGGGTGTGGTACATTTTCCGAATCAAATGGTTTCATGTCCGGTATTATGGGAGCTCACATTGCCCAAACGTTTGTGCTGTTGCTTTGATTGCATGTACAAAATGTATCTTTATTTTTATATTGTGCTTGCGACCTGTGTTGTTCTCACTTGTATTGGTCTTATTTCCAACACGGTAGTCAACACACTGTAAACGGTGTCCTCTGTAAAATGTGCTTTCGCGTTCTCGGTGTACTGTGACTTCCATTTTGCAACACCAAATAACAACAGTACATTCAGTTTGGTATGTTTATTTTGTATTCTATATTGAATCTTCACTTTTTAATAACATGATGTATTACCGAATGCATTTTGCATACATTAATTGAATATTTACATAAAAATACGATTTAAAAGTATTTGGGTGTATTGTCTGAACATTCGATGACGCTTTAAGATTTCTGACGATTTATTTATGCAAAAACATGAATTAAATCCCTCTTCAAAAATAATTTATCTTTGATATCAAACATGCATGGTCCTTAATTTTGCTGTATACGTTTACATGGATTAAATATACGTAGTCGGTTTAGTTTGCAAACGAATGTAAGTTGTGACTTCGCGTTCATAATCTATAAGAAGGTAGTTTGACTTCGTGATGTAGAATTTAAACATATCGCAACCTCAGCTATCAGTTTTTCATATTCTTTTGAAATCATATTTTTGAAGTGCATTTTTTCTAAAGACATCAATCGAAGAAATCTTCCATTGAACAATTTACACCCAATTTGCCACAATTGTTTAATTGCATCCGAATATTTGATTTACATCATCTGAACTTAGTAGTTTAACTATATCTAAAAACAAAAGTGTTGTCTTGGATCATGTAGAAATCTTTCTAGTAGTTTCAAGCTGTTCGTTTTCCTTGAAGAAAATTATGACCGCTGGTAAAAGTTCGATAATACCAAATGCATATCATCATCAAAAGACATATCACCCTCGTTATCACCATCATCATCTTAATAAATGTATAGACATCAAGATTATCAATTTGAATATTTTTTAGAGTATAGTCGGATTCTGGAAAACTTTTGAACAGTTTTTTTGTTAAGATGGTGATGATAATAGTAAATACTTTACAATAATAAATTTTGTTTTGGAATCTCAACTCTTTATTTCTATGACGAACTATGGTATGCTTTAGTATGTCTTTCTGTGCCAATTACCTTTCATAGCAGTAATGACAACTGAAATTGTTCTTTTAGCACAGTGGACTCGACAAAACAAACATTTGAAAAAATTAATAAAATTGAAAGGTACAACGAATGAAAGTCATCAATACACATTTTTCGTAAAACTAATACAGGTCAAATGAGAGCAATCCCATGTAATATATAAATATGCAGGCCTAGAACTGCCAACAAAGAACAATTTTAAGGGACTAAAATTACATTCCCGGGATTTGTTGAACATGAAGTCACAGAAAATTTACAATCACTTTGTACAAGAAGTCACAGTACTATGATAGGGATAATTTGTGTAAATTGTGCATCTTTATTTGAAACTATTTAAAATGTTTAGTTTTCTTAATCTAACAAAGAATTAACTGATTGAAACCCCTTGACGGACCTCATGCCTTATTACATAATAAATATCTGTCGCTTGGGTTTTAGGCCGAATAAGCGCTAATTGAAAAACTAGAGGTTTGATTATTCTTTACATAAGAAATCTTTATACTATGTAAAGCTGTTACTTTATCTTTTATTTATCAAAAGTCTTATTTCCGTCTTTGTGAAAATATATTTGACCCTTAATTGTAACTTATAACACAAAAAGCTTTGTAAACAAAAATCGTTACATGTTAATAAAATGGCTACAATTATTCCTTTATTCATTTTTTTTTCATTAAATAATTGAATTTATTTATTTTATATAAAATTCAAACGTAAATTTTATTAATAAGTTAATAAGACGTTATGTCCACTTTTGCCCTGTCGCATATATCCCTCCCGCTGAGAAA